GGAAGACTTAATTTTATTTGTTGAAATAATAAAATAATTTAATAAATTTTGATGGCACTACAAAATCTGTTACCGAAAAGAATAAAACATTCAATGTTTTAAATTCGTATTTCTATTTATTTAAAAAAAGCATTTTCGTAAAATATTTAGACACACTTTATTTATTCTGAAACATTTCATACTGCATAGCATAGTGTTCTGATGGATTGAGGGTGGACACTTTTCAGGTAGAAAAATACAGAAATATAGATGGATATTAATTTTAAATTAATTGATCAAGGAACAAATTATTCATTGCAAGTGATGAAACGGTAAAATACTAGCATAGTGAAGCAGAAAATTTTACAATTTAAGAAAAACGAGAACCGCGCCGAGTTTCGTTAGAATGCGTAGCGTATTCTTTTAAAGCTAGTACCAATTCAAAAAATTTAAAAGATATAAAATGACACTTAAACTTTGATAACAGAAGTACTTCTGGTGGGAATTTGGAACCGTAGTATTAAAAGTTGTAACTTAATAAAAATGTAATTTGATAGCATACTTTAAAAAAACTTCATTATAACAGAATTAGAGCTGTATCTGAAATTCTTACTAGGCAATCAGTAGCTAGAATTTGCAAAATTGTCCTGTCTAACTTTCTGATTTTCTGTCTAGCAACTTTGGAAATTCCTCTCAATAACTTTTACATTTGTTTCCGCTTGCGTATTCATTTGTGTGATTTATGTGATCATACACATGTTCGGAAATAAGCAATAAGCAACATTAATTGAAAGCTGTCAGTTTCTTTCGCTGAATAAGATATCCTAAATTAAGCAATTCATTTCAAATTAACTTCCGCTTACATAATTAATAGGTATAATCCATATTTTCTGTCACTTGTTCTGGCAACATAAATGAAAATAGGAAATTTATTTTGCCCGGATTTGCTGATATACACGCATAAAAATATTTTAAGATTTTTAAGATTTTAAGATTTTTAAGATATTTTAAGATTCGAGTTTATATACATGAAAGAGTATTTTAAACAACCTTGGTTTACCTATTTGATCAAATGCAGTAGAATAATTCTTTTTTTTCATGTTAGTTGTTTAGTTGACATCCGTGTTTAAAAAATTCTATGACGTCTTTTGTAGTTACGACAGAGGTTTCAAAAGTTTATTATTATGTATTTTATCAAATTATGCGTGGAATTAACATTAAGTCTTGCAGCTAATTTATAAAAAAATATTTAAACTAAGGATAAATTACATGCTTTCATTTTTTTCAACTAAGCATTACAAAAAAAAAAAAAAATAACAAGGCCTTATTTAAAAAAATCCAAAATTCCATGCACCTTTGTGCAGTATTTTTTAAAGAATGCAGAAAACAGTTAGACCAAAAAAATTAATTGTTAAAAAATAGTAGAAAATTAAAAAATTTTTAATAATTTTAAATGTAATTTAAACAATCAGATTAATAACATATGGTTTTCAATACTGTTTGTAATTTATTATAAAAATATATTACAACATAATTTTTATTGTAAAACTGTAAACACGAGGGTTTTGTGTCCCTTTAGAATTCAAAATTAAGTATACGCTAACACAGGAAATAATCAATTTTCATTGTGAATGTTAACTTCAACGTATAGGATGTCATACGTATTTAACGACTTATGTATGATTTAGGTTTATCAGATAAAATTGCGCTAGAATGTTTAAAACCTATATTCTTCAATAAATCTGACGCATTAAGAGACATGTTGTTAAGTGTAACTTACAGGTTTAGGGTTAGATAAAATGTATCTTAATACGAAAAATAAGCAGTTTGTTTCGTTTTGCCTACATTGAAGAGTTCAATAACGTGGGGCATCATTATGTACCTAGAATTATCTTAATCTTCAGCATTTATCGTTTCCTTTTAAAATTGTTAAAATAAAGTGTTTAATGACAACATCGTATAAGTAGAGTATAGAGATTATAGTCAGACAGACTTTAGAATAATTATAGAATTATTAGAGAGGGACAGAGTAGTTTATATTAATACAGGTTAGAAATTAATATTAACTCATATTAGTACATATAGTGGTCTATACTTACATCTAGTGCATACTTTATTTCAGTAGAAATATTCGAATTCATTTACTAAAATATATTTTCTAAGAAAAGCTATCATTGAGGTCAATTTTAGCAATCAGAAAAGTAAATTAAAAAATCATACAAAATTTACATGCCTCGCTTAACATTGGCTAAAATTTCTAAATAGACTCAATTAGAAATTTAGAAATAATTTTTAAGCATTATTATATCTTTTCGAAACAAAAATCAACAGAAATGACCATTTTAGGGAAATAAATTATATAAGTAGTTTCAATTTATTTTCAAGATGCGTGCGAATGGAACTTTAATTTCGTAGTAGCTATTTTAATATTCAGGATGGGTTTCGAAACCTAAATGATATTCATATCTATTTAAAGTATAATAGAATTTTATTCCTTTTTTGTCACAGTTTTCATCATACTAGTGACTGCCAGTATAAGATTTTATCCACACGTAACCTGAATAAGAGTTCCCGTAAGAGTTAGTAAGCTTTCCATGAAAATATCACCCTTAAATAATCAATAAGTCTAAATTTTTTGATTACATTAAGTTATGAATGCAATATGAATTATATTTAGAATAGTATAAATTCCAAAGTGTTAGTCTCTTAATATTTCTACGGATTAAAAAATTGGTTGAAAACAGACTTTTGTGCTTTTGAAGATTACTTATTTTTAACTCTTTATTTTTCTGTTTTAAACGAAACTATTGACAAAAGAAAGTCTGATGTGGACACCACATGACTTCCTTATACGGCCTATTAAAATATACATTTTTTTCTGCACTTCCTTTAAACTTATTTCGTCGAATTATTCTAACTTGATTAAAAGATACCTCAAGGCAAGTTGAAAATGACATCAAAAATTACAAAATTTTAAATTCTCGGCCAATATCTTGGAATATCGCGGCCAATTTTTGTCCTGCAGGAGTCAAACTTCTAATAATTTTATTTTTTCATAACGAATAATAAAACTTAAACTTTCCCAAATACAGGTATAGGAACCGGGAAACCGCATTAAAATTTAGATTTCGTTATTTTTTGAAAAATAATGTTTCTTAAAATCTGACACTGTCAAAAGATGAATATCTTCGTCATTTAAAACACTTCTGTGATTGGAAGTAAATCACTACGACCAACAATTAAGGCTAACTTTTAAGTCGGGTACGGGGGTGGGCATATCATTTTAGCAATTGCAATGCATCAAAAATTAATCCAGCAAAGTTTTAATAGTAAAAGTGATTTAATAAGTGCTTTTAAAGTTTCATTTCAACTATGCAATCAGCTTTCTAATATTTCTACATCATCATCATCATTACAGATACAAATTTCTCTTCCTTGGATATAATCAAAAAACTTTTCTAATGTATATACATTTGGTATTGCTGATTGCAATAAAAAAGTGAGGTGCACAACTATATGTTATACCGGTCCCATATACAAAATTTCGACGGTCTACGACTAGTCGGTTTTGAGTTATGTGAGATACATATGTACATACATACGTACGGGCAATAAACGTCATGAAAAAAATCGCTTTTGAATCCTTTTTTTAATCCATTTTATAATCCGTTTTGGAAAATGAGTCCTTTGTTCTGTCCGCACTTACAGATGTCACTCAAAAACAGTCAATATGAATTCGAGAACAGTCAAAATGGATATTCACTTTAAAATCTGAATCATTTCTTTGATTCATTTTTCTTTATTACAGTACTTCCTTTACTTTGTACAAGGAAGTAAAAATTAGCATATTTAAAATTTAAGCAAATTGTGATTCTAAGATTTACTAAATTCAAAGTATTTTCGCTACTAATTATATTATAACTGCACAATTAGTATGGATACAGTTAGAATAAGAATAAAGCGAATTACCCAAAAATTGGTTATTTCAAGGGTTCATTAAAAAACTGAAAATAATTTCAAGTATTAATGTTTTCGCTATACTTAAAATTACAGTTTATTTACCGATGTTTAACAGTCCTTAAAAACCGAATTTGATTGTTCATAATTAATTTAAAGTACTAAAATAATTTAAGCTAATTTCAGTGTTAAAATTTCAACTGGTATTAAATGTTAGCGCAAATGGTATTAGTTAAAAATGAAATAAATTAAAAATTTCTGAAAAAGTTTCTTCGCTTTCTTCACACTGAAGTTAGATTTCAAATGCATTAATTCAAATGTAACTGAGTTTCACTGCAGACTTATGCATTATTTATTAATTTCGCCTAAGAATAAAAAAGTAATTTTCATTAAGCCTTGCAAAAGTTAATTACCTATATATATAGATTTAAATACTGTCCAGGAGAGGAAGTTAATAAAAAGTGAAATAAATGAACTACAGTGAAAATATTTTCATTTAAATTTTTCCAGAAATTTGCGGACAACCATTGCTTTTAATAACACAATACACTTTAAAAAATCCTCTGGCTAACTGTTAATATTGTTTATTATTTAAAATGTTCAGTTCTTTCTTAGTTTCGATTATAAACGGTGAAGTCAAGAAATACCTTTCAAAAATATTACACCAAATCTGGCGAATAAAGGTATATAAAGCTTTAGATTAAAAGGAATATGATAAAACAGGTAGAGTAAAACATAAAAATTTATAAACTCTGAAATATATAATTAAGTTGCTTTCCAATTCCAAAAGTTTTCAAAACAAAAATTCAATAATTAGTACTAAATGCGGACATGCAAAAGAATGCTTAATAAAATGTTATTAGAAACGTCTAGAATTTCACAGATATTTACTGCTCACAACTTACCGATTCTAAATTAAAATTTCTTATTAATAGTGATTAACCTTTTTAAAAGGTTAATTTTTTTAAATTATTTTAAAAAAATTCTGCAAATAATAGTTTTTATTGCAGTAAAAACAGTTACTGCAAGAAAAAGGAGTTAACGAAATAATCGATTAATCTTACTTTGCCCAAAGGAAAGCAAACTGTGCAACAAACATCACAGACGTTGCCAGGTTTCAATTTCCAAGTGCAGCAGACGATGTTTCCCAGCTTTTTGGTTCGCGGCTGCGGGTAAGCAGCTAGCGGTCAACTCTCCACATTAGAAGACACATCTGTCGCCCTGATGTCGCACCTGCCGTACGATGGGGGATCTGTCGCAAAGCGCCGGTGCCGGTAGCCCCTATTCCGAACGAAACAAATGATAGTAAAAAGAAAAGAATAAATAACAACCATCCAATAAAACAAACAAAAAATAACACAGATATTCAAAAAACTAACTGCTGTTGTGGCGTTAGGCTAAATCGTTGTTGTTATAGTTGCCATGGGAATGTGTCTTTCCTATTGGTCAACTAGGCAACAGGTACAATGCGCAGCAAGCACACCGTTACAATTTTTTCAGGGTGTGGAACATGGCGTCGGTAACCATGACAACGACGAGAACCAGAAATCACAACACAGCACGAGGTATTGTATTACATACACTCTCTAGTTCTAAAACTGCCGAAGTTTTCGGTACAGTTTTTCTTTCTTTAACTGCTTTTTTGTACAACAAATTTTATTTTTACATGCCTATTTCAAGAAATTTTATGAAACAAACTAAATAATAAAAAGTTCCATATATTAACAAATTCCTTTTTAAGCCGATTTATAGTTTCTGTTTTTAACGAAAGCAATAGTTTTTCTTAAACTAAAATTAGAACAAGATATCTTAGACACGTAATACTGTTCATATTTGCATTACTTCGTTTAAGATTTTAATACGATATTGAGAGAATGTCTCCTAGTGCGAGATGAGAAACCGTACCATTAAATTTTCAGTATTAGACAGCTTTTAGTTAAGTCACGTAATTAAGCATTTTTAAAAGAGGCACAGCTAGTATTGTAATGGACAAAACGAATTTTTTAAACGTTTTGGTACAGTGTCTTTTTTTATACTTATGGAATCGACTCACATCGAAATTAAATTAAAATTAGATACATTTCAAACATAGTTTGATGCTAGTTTTGTAGCATTATGCATTTCAAGGGTGACTTAAACGCCCACGCAATATTTTTGTTTCTTGAAAAAAGAAAATATTGCTTCATTCAGCTTTCCTTAAATTTTTCTTAAAAAATATTGCTCAATTAAAAATTTTTTAGACATTTTGTAGTTAACTGAGCATCAAAGAAATATTAATTTGCATTAAAATTGGATTTACTAAATTTGAAATTTTTGAAATTTGATAATTTTATCATTTTTTGATTTACTTTTACAAATAATTATTTGATTGATTTAAATAATTAATAAGTAGCAAAATGTCTTCCTGGACGGTATTGCTGGCAGAGGCTGACTGCTAGTTTGATTTGGCCTTACTACTTGACTGCCAACAAAATGATTCCGTATAGAATCATTATTCCTTCTATATTCGTTACACATGAAAATTTCTGCTAGCGTTTAATGTATATGGTTTCAGTTTGGATGTACATCGGAAGAAAAGGAATCAAGGTACAAAATGAAAGAGTCAGTTTTTAATTAAAATCAAGAAAATATGATTTATTCATGACATTTTGGGGAACTTAGAAATTTCAGGGCTAAACTCGTAATGCTTGGAGGTGAATAATTATATATATATATATATGTATGTATCTATGACTTTTGTATGGTTTCATCTTATTTTTTTTACCTTGAGAAGTTGATTATTGCTTCTTATACCTTTTAAACCTGTAATATACACATATTTAGCTCATCTTAGTTTAATGTAGAATTAATGCTTAAACTAAAATAAATACATAACATATGGGGTTAGCAAATGGGGATCGTTTAGAAATTACGACTAGTGTGAGCAAGGCCGCAATCGAACAGGCGTGTCTAATTGAGAAAATGAGAATATGCTGCATCAACTCGAGCGTGATGTTAACTGAGCTGTGACGAAAGGAGTCTCGGTAAGCTATTCATTAACTTAACACGTTCACATATATGTTCACCAATATTTTCGCGTCAATGTCATCCATTGCTCAGACTTCTGTCATAGCTAGGAGGTAGAAGTTGAGTACATATGTAAGTTAAAAAAGACTCCAGCATACGTTTGTCCAATTATCGAACTAATCAGAGGCGGATTAGAGGCTCACGCAATTCGTAACTGCTAAAGACTCTGCATTCCCACATGCATCCAAAACATTGATTAAAAAAGTATTAAGCATTTCTTGTGCCTTAAATGACTTAAAATGTCTACGTTAATGCCTATCTTCGTAAACCACCGTTAAATCAATTTTTAAGCTTGTTATATAATTATTTTTTGCATATGCATACCAATGTCTAAAACAGATTTCGGGAACTAAAACGTGTGAAGAAAAACACCTAAAGTAAATTTCTCACCTTGTAGAAGCTTATACCTCCCCCCCTAAAAGGGGGTTATAAATAGTTAAACAGAGAAGACTTTATGAACAACTTTTATTTAATTACAAACACTTTGACTTTAAACACATGCGCTCCATTTTAAAGAAGATCTAAAAAGCTATCCCATTGTTTACAAGAATGTCAAAAGATACTAATTCAGAAGTCAAACAACAAAAATCAGCGTTATATTTTCAAAATTTTCGCAGGACTAGTTTCGATGGTTTTACCGAACCACCATCCTCAGCTGCAAAACCGCAAATGAAAAAACCGCATTTTTTTTCATTTGCGGTTTTGCAGCTGAGGATGGTGGTTCGGTAAAACCATCGAAACTAGTCCTGCGAAAATTTTGAAAATATAACGCTGATTTTTGTTGTTTGACTTCTGAATTAGTATTTATTCGGCGTGTTATTGTGTCTTAATTATGTCAAAGATGTTTGATAAAAGCTGAATTACGTCGATTTTCATAATTTTTTGTCGCTGACTTTTGATATTCTTGTGAAGAATGGGACAAGGTTTTTAAACCCTCCTGTAAAACTTGACTTTTGTCTCATAATCAATTTTTACCTCTTTCTGATTCAATTTATTTTAATTTTTTTTCTTAAAATCTATTTAAAATTTATTCCCCCAGTGTTAAATATGAAACAAATTATTTTTGCAGTTAAGTGCATTAAAATCGTGCTATAGTGTTTCAAATAAATTTCCCATGTAGTAATAGATGACTAAAGCAGCACTTGTATAAAATTCCTGTAAATTAAAAAGAATATGTTATTAAGGAATTGCATTCTATATCTCTGTGTCCGTTATCTCTATATCTGGACCAGTATTTTATATCTCTGTAATTCAGAGTACTCTGTATATAATTCCTAAATTTATTGTTGTTGCATCGAGGTAATGTTTTAATACATTCTTCCTCAAAATAATTCGCACTAATTATTATTCTTGCGGATGTTTCCACTTTTTCATAGGAAGAACAGGTCACCTACAATATAATATTATATTTAAACACAAATTATTATTAATTTAAACACAAAATATCGTAGTTTTCAGTAAACTTACGTTTATTTGAAATACTATAGCATGATTTTCAAGATTTGTTTTGGGAAATAATAGCAATAAAATTTTGAAGAAAGAATTCAAACTCGATTCCTTTGAATTCCGTACTTCTATATGTAAGTAAATAGAAAAAATACAGCTGTTTCTTCTTAAATGCATGTCCATTCTCGGTTAGTTTAACATGTAAGAAAAATATTGGATTTAAATGCAAGTAACAGCCCTATTTTTCAAATCTCATTGCGTCTTCAAACTGAGCAATATTACTGAATTACTTAAGTTCAGAAATGAATAAATAAACAATAATTTAATTATGAATTACCACTTAATGATGAATAATGAAATCAACTGATATTAAAATCTTATTTGGGCCGAATTTTAGTTTTATTTTATTTAAAACTTTGAAAAAAAATGTTAAAACACTTATGCGCTTTTTGCTCAAAAGGTAAACTTTTTCACTTTGAGAAACTTTAAGTTTCAGTCTAATATTTCGGAGGAAAGTTTACCTTTAAATAATTAAAAAGATCACCTTTTACTATATAAGAAAATATTTAAAACATTAAAAAGTAACTGATCTTCTAAAAAAGACTATTATCTTATGAATAAAATTGAAAATATTAAGTATGCACAGATATATACAAGTATACATGCAATTAATTGCCTTTTAAACGATTTACTCTTGCTCTATAAAGTAATGCACTTTTATGAAAGGATGGAAAAGTTAAAAATATTAAACATTATTTACAGAGTATTATTTTATGTTAATTAACCCTTTTCCTTTTGCTTTAGAACTGCACTATCACAGTACTGAGCGCCTTCTCTTTAGCTCTCACCAGGATGCAAACGAGCTAAGAATAATTAGGTCGGAGTTTTTGAATACGCAGAAGCAGCTTTGTGCCCAGCTCTGTTGCAGTAAATATCTGGTACTAGCCATTTTGCTAAGCGCAGTGTATCGCACACTTACTAAATTGAGAAAATTCTTGGTAAGGTTGTATGAATTGCAATCCGCAGCATCGAATTTAATTTAAAAATAAATTGAACTTTTCCTTTGCTAATATCTCTCACGAAGTGAAAATTTAATTTGTAACCACAAGTCGTGTGTTTGTTAAGGCTAAAGATTTTATTAATAAAGATTATTTAAACCTTCATAAGAGTTTGTTTTAATTTTATAAGCGGAGCGACAACTCGCTTGTTGGCCTTAGTAAAGAACTTTTAGTTAAATTTCAGAGAGTAACCCTACACATTGACTGGAAATAACCTTTTATTTTTATTTATATCAAACAGAAATCTCTAAAAGTATCCATTTATGTTTAAAATTAAGCAAAACATCATATTTACGGTGGCGTAAATTTTAAATAAAACTCATTCGTTTCGAAGGTGATCAAATACAGGACCCTCTTCATCAGATGCAGAATTTGTCTGCTAATTCTGAATTTGTATTACCTAATTTGACTTTAGCGAGTATCTCTTACTATTTGATCCATCTAGTATGTATTTATAAATCTTTATCAGATTTTTCGTTTAAAGACATTAAGTACAATCCTTCATCATCATTTTATTTCCGAAGTCACGAAGTCTTAGAAAATGCATAGTTTTTGGCCGTTCCCCAAAATGTTCTTCCAATGATTAATATAAGTGACATATTTCTAGGTATTTAAATTTCTTAAAACGAGTTTCAATAATCTCTGGTGAATTTTAATGCAACATAAAACTAAGAAATATTCTAAGATTTACTTAGTAAC